CGCGTACCTAAATATAGCATATGCAAATAAATAACAATAAACAATAATTATATCGACACCATCCATACGACATTGACAAAATATACACATATAATTACATTTCGTATCTCCAACAATATAAAAAAATAAAAACTTCAATACTTCAAAAATTCTACCCCACACCCCCTCCCAACGACAGTCAAAATTTATTCATTAATTTCCTAAAATACTCTCAACACGATTATACATATAGGACAAAGAAAGTACAGAACAAAGGCAAAGCGTCGGCCATTTCCCTTCTTCGAACAATCACCCCTTAAATCCCCATCGAACTGGAAGCAGAACGAGGCAGACCACAGAATAGTACACAATTCCGCGTATCACGGAAGCGTAAAGACGTCGCGCATCGACGTTAATCTAGCAGTTTCATTAAAAGCGACCGTGCCGACCGAACGACCGTCGACCCTGTATAAACTGGGACGAAATAGTCCCGGTAACGAGGTTAAGGATTATCCAGGCGACGTCGCCTGTTTCTCGTTTATTCGTTATTCGTTTTGCTCTCGCAGGCCGGGCGATTTCCGCCGAATACACGCGGCGTCCTCGTGCGGCCGGAAATAAAATTTCGGAGACTTTAATTACCGGCCGGCGCAATGCCACCCCTCGCGAGGTCTCCTTCGGGGGTTGCGTTTGCTCGTTTTTACGTCCTTCGCGTTAGCCGACGACGTCGCGAGCGTCGGAATTATGCACGGATCCGAGTGTGCCGCTTTTGTCCGCCTGAGACAGGAGTTAGGCTGCAGTTTTCGCGGTGGCCAAATTAATTAGACATCGTTGATGCTCGAATAACATAATACCGATAACCTAATCGAAAATTTGTACATTTTCATTAATTACAAAGGTCCAAATTTTGTAGAAACAGGGGTTAGGCTAGATTTTTAGCGGTGGCCAAATTAATTAGGCATCGTTAATGCAGGAATAACCTAATACCGATAACCGAATCGCGAATATATACATTTTTCTTTATTACAAGGGTGTAAATTTTGTAGAAACTGGGGTTAGGCTGGGCTTTTCGCGGTGGCCAGATTAATTAGACATCCTTGATGCTCGAATAATCTAATACCGATAACCTAATCGAAAATTTGTACATTTTCATTAATTACAAAGGTCCAAATTTTGTAGAAACAGGGGTTAGGTTGGATTTTTAGCGGTGGCCAAATTAATTCGACATCGTTAACACTTTAATGGCCCCACGATTACGCAGCCAAACGTTGCCAGGGGCTGGCAAGATTTTTCAAGAATTAATTTAAAAAAGCTGTATTTAAAATTCACGAAATAATATTACACGTGCGAACACACACATAAAACAAAAGACAATAACAATTTAACAAGAAATTTAATATTTTTCCTTTGTGTGATAATTATTAATTATTAATTGGCGATAACATTATACACATGTTGTATGAGCAGACAATAACAGTCGTTTCAGCTATCACACACATGTGCGAGCGGCCATTAAAGTGTTAATAGTCGAATAACGTAATACCAATAACCGAATCGCGAATTTGTACATTTTTATTTATTACAAAGATCCAAATTTTGTAGAAACAGGGGGTTGGCTGGATTTTTCGCGGTGGTCAAATTAATTCGATATCGCTAATGCTCGAATAACCTAATATCGATAACAGAATCGCGAATTTGTACATTTTTATTTATTACAAGGGTCTAAATTTTGTAGAAATGTTTTTCCTCGTCCTTAGGACATTAGAAGAATAGAAAAATTAATATTCGATAACAATTTCGGATAATCTAAATGACATTTCTGTAGCATGGTCGAAGAATGCTCAAACAGTACTTGATACTTGAACTTGCCGAAACTCGATAAATCCTTTGGAGGGGTGGAATCAAGGACTTCGAACAATCACGTTTACCGAAGCTTTAAATGAATCGCATTCTCTTGATCCGTCTCCTGTTTCGTCGCTCACGGTCGTTCGTGAGTAATTTAAGCAATTTAAATAATTCAAGTTGCCGACGTTATTCAAATAACTGAAATTAAATAATGGACGGAATTAAGTTTTACTGTCGCGTACCACTAGGGAAATTCCCGGCTCTAAGCGAACGCGGCCTGATTTCAGGAATCTTCCGCTGGAACCTCGTTTACCATCGCGTTCGTCATTTTTCGATCCAAAATTTCCGCTGGGATTAAAAAGAAAACTTGCCTTTCATATCTGCCCGACAAGAAGATAAATCGATGAAATAAACCCCGTTTAAAATCTTTCCTTCGAACGTTTACCGCTTTCCCTGCGATCCAATTATGGAAAAATTATGCATCGATGTGGTATTCGATTTTAATTAATTATTACACACCTATTCCACATAAAATTCGAAACAAATTTTAGAAATTCTCCGAATTTTGTACACGTTGAAACGCACAAAATGAAATATAATTAGAGTCGCGTGATTAGTGTATAGCACATAATTATGAGATTTTGTATAAAGAATTCGTAACAAGTTAGACTTAGTTGAATATTATAGTTAACAAAGTTAAGTGTTAAATTTGGTGAAATTCAATGACGGATTTGGCGAGGAATTAGATAAATTCTTTTTTGAAAAATTTATTACTTTTGTATTGAATCACGGTTGTATTATATATCGTATTTCACTGGAATTTATTTTTCGTTTTTTTTTTTCTTTTTTCTGTTTGTTCGGTGTCGAGAGATGTCGATAAATTGAAATTTTCGCGTGATCGCGTTTCCCTGAAGTTTTGTTTTCGTTTTCCCGAAATTTCGTTCCACGTTCCTCGAAAATTTTATAGGGCAGTCTGTCAGCATTCTATGTTACAGTCCTTCGAAATTCCATTTCAGCTACCTTCAAAATTTCATCATAGTAGCCTCCTCAATTCCACTCAATGTTCTCTACATCTCTCCTGTGTTTCTAGGAAACTCTCTTCCAACATTCTGTCCTCCTATGGATTTTCGAAATTACGCCTGATATCGTCCCTTTAATTCAAACTAATTCCACTTTATAACTGTACCACGTTCACAGTTATAATCGCGAATGATTGCAATTATAATTGCAATTTTTTATTTCAAACTCGTATATTTTCTCTTATATGCATATATCTTGCATATTCGACCAACGTAAAAATCTCACGATTTTACGTATTTTTTCTGTGAAAGAAAACGTAAAATAAACGAAACACTGAAAAATAAAATATTTTTAAACTATACTTCAATACACAGTACCAAAAAATATAATTCTAAACAAATGCACACAAAAATAACATAAATGATTAAAAAGAAAGAAAATACTAGGATAATATATCAATCAACATTTTAAAAAATTTAAATATTTAAATATATAAAACACGGAAAATCACGTTTCGAGTACTCAGAATACCACCCCCATCTCCAAACGGAAAAATGAAAATACATCAAAGACACGAAAGTCATATTTAAACGACTCGATATCAACCCCAAACCCATTAGTGTTCCCCTGAATGTTATTTCCTAATTGCCTAATTTGCCCACCCCCGCATCGAGCCAACCCATCGCGCCGCGAACTACCTTGTATCTTTCCAAACGAAGAACTCGGCTGCCTATTCGTCAACCACGAAATCACGGGATCCGATTTTCCTGGAATTAGCTCGCGTTTGGGCTACTTGCGAAATTGTCGTGGAAGTGTCGCTTTCGCGCGGGTAATTTCGACAAGACCTCCGCGGGCCAATTTAACGCCTCCGTCCACACGCGTTAATTCGTAATTATTGGCTCGAATTGCAGTCACCCTTGGCGACGTCGGGAACAGAGAAAACGGACAGGGACAAACAAGAGGACGCAAGGATAGGGTGGCGACGTGGATTTCCATGATGGCGATTTTTTCCCGGTTTTCCGATTTTTCCCTTTTTTCTTTCTCCTACGAAATTTAATCTTTCTACTCGATGGGAACGTCGCGAAGGTCGATCGAGTCTGATTGTATATTCATACGACGCAGGCTGAAAAACACGCCTTGAGGGGATGACGGTAACGAGAAACGCGACGTAATCCGTCGCTTCGAGGCGAAGTCGACGCGGCCATGCCATGAAGAATTATGGGAGCCGGGGATGCTCGGTTGACGCGACTAAAAAATGCGCAGAGTGTCGCGGTTGCCTTATTTTAATAGGGCTTGCAAGCATTTCCTCCAATCGCGAGGGGTAGATGCCACGTGATTCGGGATTTAGATGGAATTATTGGAACGATTGCGACGATATCGCTGCGAATTTCGTGGAAATGAGGAATAAGGAAATATGGAATAAGGTGTAGACCTCGAATTAGTGTCACGAATTTTTCTCAATTCTTGACGGAATAAAGAAAATATAAAGATTGTTGCACTCTGTTATGGTAGCTAATAGATCTGTCATATCGATAACAGTTTAATAATTGGAATACTATTAAGGGTACTTTGATCCCACCATCGAGTTTAGAACTAGGATTATGTACAGAAGGATCGATCATAACCGACTGTTTGAAGTTTAGACCTAGACTATGAAGACTGGACTCGAAGTTTCAGGTATCAGAAGGGATCAGGTACTAACAGGGACCAGGTACCAGACAAAAATCCTATACAGTTTCAGAATTGTCTGAAACCTAATATTCGTCTCTTCTGATCCTCGTTAGCCAGATCCTCATTAATCCAGTAAAAGAAACCGCAACTAGGGCGAGGTCCATATAAATACCTTTAACTCCAGGATTATAAATTCCGAATGACCCAGCACAAATTGCACGTCTATACGACGATCTATTTCCACTCTATGGATTCTACGGATTTCAGAAGCAAATCCTTCCAAATTCTACATCTTGCTATATACACTCATATAAATTTCCATATACCCGATAATCTTCATCGAACAAGAAAATGACAAATCAGAAACATATATGTACCCTCTAAAATACACTTTTCCTCGTATTCACTGCAAACACTATATTCTCAAATTCTGGGACTGTTAGGACCATCTAAAAGTTGTTCTAAACATTTCAAAATTTCTTTTCAAGATCCAACGGTCTATCCATCCAACAACCCCAAAAACCCCAGAAGGCGCTCTAATCTTCGCGAGCTCGAAGGGATTCCATCAACCTCAAGAGGACCTCTGATCGCATCCTCGGACCTAATATTGCACGATGTGGACCTTGCGTCACAAAAATCACTGCGGGAAGGAAGGGCAGAGTGAAAAATGGAGCACAAAAGTGGGCGCGATACGCGAGCCACCCCGATGGTTTCGCGCGTATGTTGGCGGCCAAGTGCAGTCGGTGAACCACTCGATGCACAATGGCTTCGCACTCTTTCATTTCGCAGCCGACTAGCCCTGTATTTGTTACGTGTACGTACGCGCGTCGCTCGACGTTTTTCGCCGGATTTTCGCGCGGGAAAAATAGAATGTTAGGGCCCAGGGGTGGGTCGCGGGAAGCACTCCGACTCTGCCGCTAAATAGACGCCGTTGCATCGCTTTTTTTCTATTGGCCCCGGAGAAACATCGACCATTTCTGTTCCCTTCCATCCCCCTTTGTTCGCCCCTGTTTCTCGACCACCCGACGAGGGTTCGTTTACGCGGACTTTGTTCGCGATCCTCGCGCGAATTTTATGCGACAGGGTAATAGACGAGGTGGAGGGTTTCCAACATTTCTGGACAGTTTTAAATCGTTGGCCGTTGTGCCTCGTCGGGGTGCCCTTTGTCTGAGCGAGCCCTGTGGAAGACTCGCCTCGTTTTCTGTTGCGAGCGAGAGTGATGAGCACACTTGGCATAGTAATTTGTACGTACCGTGACACGTGAGAGCACAGTCTGTGTTATGTCGGTGCTTGCAATTGATATTACCAAATTTGTTCAGAAGGTTTGGATTTTAACGAGTTAATTAGCGATACTCGGTTAAAAATTATTGCGAGAAATGGCGAATCTTTTTGGGGGAATTTTTATTTTTGGAAAATTATGGGAATTAACCCTTCGCACTCGAGACCCCTTGTACCTCTCAGTCGCCATTTAATCAAATTCTAAAGAGGGATGTTAATTAATATATCAAATTTACAATTACCCAACGTGGAATACAGAAGTAAAATAATTCTACGTCTTAATTTGCATACGATTCCTTATTTACCGCTTTAAAAATATCTAGTGATATAGAATTTAGAATAGTAATATCTTCGAATTACTATTTTCCTGTAACGAAAAAATCGCCGAGTGCAGAGGGTTAGTATAGTACTTTTTGAAGCAGAGAAAATTATAAATATTTTTGTAAAACAGTAATAGAATAAATTAAATAGGAACCATGCACGAGATGTATAGATGTCACCATTATCTCATGTGTGGCGTTTTGATCAATGATTACACATGGATACTAATCAATCATTCATTCTGAATCGTGCCTCTAAAGTGACAGGGGTTCATATATCCTGCATAAGGTCAATTATCCGACATACAAAAATTAACCCACATATTTAAGTGTGAAACCAAAGCAATCCAATCCATTCATTTGTTTGTATATGTACAATTTATTGTTTGTCTAATTCGTTCAAAAACCACGCGTTATTTCTCGATTTTATCAACCTTGTTCCAAGAATTTTGTTCATAGTATTTCTTCTTTTAAAAACACAAAAGAAAATAAGATTTAATTCTTGAGAAATATATGATTTCACGATCTAGGATTCTGTTTGGTCATAGAAAAAGATATTGGTGATAGCTTCTCATAGTGGGATTATCTTTATTAACACTAGGTTTACAGACGCTACCTGTATACCTATTTCTACGGACACCGGTCAAATTTACAGATAAAGAAAACCACGTGTCCTTTCTTTTTCAACGATTTGTTTAATTTAAAAACAATTGCAATATTAACAGTCTTAATATAAGTTAACTAAATCTGTTACTGTCGTATAATTGGAGCAACCCATCCGTCAAATTGACGGGTTTCGTAAATCTAGTGTTAAATCCCACGTGGATAATGGGTTAGAGGTTCCAGAAGGAATAATAGTTTTATTTCGAATAAAGATAACACTCATTTACACAAACTCTCTCGTTCATGATGCTCTCAGGTCTCACATACATCTCTCTCGCCCTATATTCTCTCACACGTTCAGTTCTTTTCATTACAAAGCTTAATCTCCCTCACTCGATACATTTGGTCACGTCCACTCAAAATTCTTCAGTCTGGCGCCATCTCAATTGCCCATCTTCCACGTCTTAGTTTAAACATTCTCTCACGAAACACTTCACTTGCTCGTCTAGCCTAATCTTCGCATTCTCTCAGAAGCATACCTATTTCCATACATTCTCACAGCAGTAAGACACTAGTACAGTAATACTATGCACTAGTTCAAATTTATTTTATTTTTACTCCAATCTGGGGAAAATACCCGTCGGTTTTACTTTAGGATCACACAGGTCTTTCGCGAAAAATTAAGTTTCTTAAATTTTATAGAACTAAATAATTTTTAACTAACTTCACCGACAGAGATTTAGTATTTTCCCCGAGACTTCGAGGGTACAAAATTAAAAAACCACTAAATGTACATGATAAAACCGCGAGGTTTCACCTCGTTTGTAAAACAATTTATAAAACAGTGAATAAAACGGTGTAACAATACTTGCAACACTGGAGGAACATTACCGTCTTGCCTCTGAACTCCGACATCGCGGTGAAAACGAAAGAAAAATTCCAGCTGACTCGAGGATATCCGTTAAGCGTTACTTACAAAGCAATAAACGTCGATTAAAAAGAGTATCGGTAGACCCGGGGTTACCCAAGTTTACAACGATCGTGGGGAGCATGGGAAGAAAAATCAGGAGCTGAAAGCGAGCCGAAGACAGCGACTAAAAGGAAAAGGGGAACCGGGGGGCGGCTAGGGGGCGAAAAGAATCGCTGTAGCTGGAACAGAGAAATCTCGCGAGGGAGAATTATTTTTTAATTCCACCTGAGAGTATCGCGATACTAAATAAAAGAACGGCTTGTCTGCGGTCGAGCAGGAAGCATTTTCCGGAAATTGTGCCGCAAGTAAAAATCAAGAGTATGAAATAACGCAACGGTAAGTCAAAGTAATCTCGAAATGGAAATCCGCTGTAAATCAATTTTTACTGAAACCGCCCTGCCACTGTTTCGTACCTATGAACCATTGCGCGGTGTTATTTCACCTAAATATCTCGAAATTACTTCACCCGTTACTACATCCGCAACGGGGACCATAATTTTCGCGTCTCGAGGATATCGAGGTATAGAGTGCGATGAAAACGGATGGCTTTGCTCGGGTGAAATTTATATTTCACGAGGAAAAAGTGTTTAGGGTCTTTCATCTTCGGAGTAACTATAACGTTAAACCCAATTTCGTCTATGCCAAAAAATTAACTCACCACGATAGTAGTCGAAAATGTCACTACAATTGAAAATTTTAATCAAAAACCTATAGGAATTGAAATGGCTATAGCATTATGCCAAAAAATTAACTTATACCACGATAGTAGTCGAAAATGTCAATACAATTGAAAATTTTAATCAAAAGCCTATAGGAATTGAAATGGCTATAGCAATCTAATAGGTTCTGATCCCTTCATTTATGCAACAAAAATTAGCTCATGATAGTAATCGAAAATGTCACTACAATTGAAAATTTTAATCAAAAACCTATAGGAATTGAAATGGCTATAGCAATCTAATAGGTTCTGATCCCTTCATTTATGCAACAAAAATTAGCTCACCACGATATTAGTCGAAAATGTCAATACAATTGAAAATTTTAATAAAAAATTGATAGGAATTGAAATGGCTATAGCAGTCCAATGGGTTCTGATCCCTTCATTTATTCAAAAGAATTAACTCACCACTTTAATCCTTAACCCTTTGCACTCCTTTGTCGAGTGTGACTCGACATCAGTTTTCATCAAAGGAACTCCTATGTCGAGTTAGACTCGATAGACTGTTCTTTGATTCTTTATTTACTGAACAAGAAAGCAGAAAATAAGTAATTACTTGAATTACTTAATTCAAATATAAATTTCTATTATAAATTAAATATTAATTACTTAATTCCAAATATAAATTACAACATTGTTTGAGACCTATATTTAATATAACCAGTAAACAAAATTCTTTAAAATAAGCACGCGTCGAGGAATTGTTCTGTGAAGTAAATTTCAAAGAAAATACTTAAAATAGTATGAATTTATTGACACCAAAATTAAAAAATAATTCAGAGTGCAAAGGATTAATACTGTTTGTTACTGCTATTACAATATTCCAATTTCTTTCACTTTTATTTTATATTTCTCGGTTCGATAGTCAATGTAAACATTATTTTCCCTCGATTTCAATTTTAGTTTTCTCCCCATCGATTCCAGAATTGAATTTCTTTCTACAGAAACAGCATTGCGTTTATTTTTTCAATTACTATGCACCCTGTCCAACGAAGTATATATTAAACAAAGGAGCGCGACGAAATTCGTCTACGAACGTATTAAAACGCTATAGAAATAACTATGCAGAGTACGACGGGAAAGTTTGCGAAGAAAATACCATAGAAACGAAATATAAGGGTAGAAATCGATGAAAGAGAAGAAGTGGGTCGCCGGGAGGATTTTTATTTCTCCTCTTTACTACACATAATATACCACTCTTACCTTTTCACTAACTTTTTAGTTCAATCGCCGAGGTAAACACGTCCTGCTTTCAACATAATTTCCATTTCCGTTTAATCACACCGTGGCTGAATTTCCCTTTATAAAACCTGCGTCGCAATTATTTCGTCGATTAGCAGAAACTTAGCCTGGTAAAATGGCGAATCGAACGAAAGGCCTCTACAAAATTCCACGGAAAACGAATTAAAACGGTCGTGGAATGTCTGCTGCGTGGAATAAATATTTAATAATATCGCGATATCGAAGTATGAGAGAGGATCGTGACGGACGAGTGATTTTTCGAAGATCGTGGATCGAGGAAACCACGCGAAAGGCAACGCGTGCTTGCATCGACGAGCAACATCGTTCCAGGAGCATATTATCTGCATTTTTCAGCCTCGAACTGGGCCAAGATGCTGGGTGCACCGGGTGCA